GAGAGGGTGCTGCTCCTTTCTCATTCCTCCACAGCCCCTTCCATGATGGGAGGAGGAAGGCTATCCTATCTGGTGGCCAGGAAATGGATTCTGACCTGCCTACTGCAACTGGTATTGGACAGGGGAGTTAGGAGGGGCCATGTGCCTAGCCCTCCCTTGCTCTGGAGGGTGGTCTCTCCTTACTTTTATTGCCCTGAGTAGCCATTCTGAGCTCTTTTGCTTTCTGCTGCCCAGCTGCCAGTTTGGTTCCATTCAAGCCCCACTCGGAGGCTATGTCTCCACGAGGAGGGAGGGGCGTGATTCCCAGCTTGTGTACACAGTAGCTCTCCTTGAACAATCCTAAGTATAAATAGCAGTGTAGCAGGGGAACTAGCAAGGAAGGCATGGCTTAGCCATGTTGAGTACAAACCTGCCTGAAACTGGTGAGTAAGTACTTGGCACAGTCTTGCCACTACCCGTTCTACAGTGGCTACACTACACTCAATGAAAACTAGCATGAGTATGTGTATGTGAGCAGGGAATCACACCCCTAGCTCATAGCATAGGCATAGCCATATTCTCCCCATCTACTGGACGAGATCTCTTTAGATACCAGGGTAGAGGCTCATTGCCAGACTTCGTTTGGAGATCTGGAAGGAATTTTTCCCATCTTGCAAAATTGGCAAACTGCTGTGTGGATTTTTTCACCCCCATCCAGTATCTCTGAGATCCATTTTGGGTTTATATTACATTTTGCGACTTCAGTGGGTTCTAGTACGGCTGGTGAGTTAGAAAGGGTCCAAGGGGAAGACCCTGTAACCCAAGGGGCTTCTTGGGCATGGGCCCAGAGTATAACATTTGCACAGTGAGGGGGCATGTTTCCATATGTCATGCTGCATGTGGCTCCCCTCATCTAATTTCTCCTACATCCTGTTTGTAGGTGGGGAGTGGATTGGGACTCTGACTGCCAGCCAGGCTCCCTGAGTAGGCCTGAGAGTGTTAAGGGGGCGGGACATGGCCTTCATAGCTCCCCTCAGGTTTGCAGAACCCAGGGCCACTGGTGCCAAGATGAAATCTGCATTGGAACAGCCCAAACATGTAGTTGGGAGGAATGGTCCCTGTTGGTTAAGAATTTTAATAAAGTTGTAGCCTCTGCATTTAACCATACTATGGCATATGTGTCTCATTGTTTCCATGTTGTCATCAATGAATGTTGATGCTAACATCCCTAGCTATGCCACTAGTATATGTGGTCTAGTAGCATGACTCTACAACCTTAGTGAGCAAGGCCATTATCATTACCATAAAGGTTTGGGAGTCCAAAAGAGGGTTAGATGTCTCACAAGAACAAATTAAATCATAGTCAAACAAAGAATTTATAATCTATGTTTGACATGACACAACAAGTGAGGGTTAAAAATAGACAAAAGTAAGCAGTGGGACAGGAAGGAAGAAGAATGACAAAAAGATCATGTTATGCAGGAAGGCATGTATTTCCATCAAAAATATATTTTTGGTCTTTTTCAAATTACGCTGCCAAAATACCACCACATCTCATTAGCCATAGTCATCCCACATAATGACAACACCTAACAGAGGGAAAGGACACATCTCCCAAATATGGCAGGGCTGGGAGGTAAAACACACCCCTGCCCCTTGATCTCTCTAATCTGGGGATGCTGCCAGAACCAACTGTCACAGACTGTGCTATCCAATTAGCTGGCATACTCCACTTAAATAGATGCCAGCTGTGCTGCAAGCCAGGTTACTATGTTGAGGTTTAAAACACTATCAAACAGGCAGAGCAACAGTGAGACTGCTTCCATTAGCCACCACTTTTATGGTAATTCACCAGCCTGTCTCTAAATTTAGGGAAAGGCCAGTGCGATAGATAATAAAAAATGCTATTTGTCAGTCAGAGACTACTGTTCCACACATTCTAAGAGGGTCTGTTGTCTGCAATGAGACTTCAGGTGAAAACGAAGAAGCTGCTTTACTGTAATAACGTCGGTGAAAAGAAATGCTGCAAATCTAAAATCTGTCTTAAAGAAATAATTAATTTACTAATTACCTTATCCTTCTGGTTAACTAAGGATTATTCTAAAACGTACGTTCAGTATTCAGAGGTGCAAGGTAAAAAAAAACTGTACAACCCCCTAGCCCCAAAGGCAAAGTGAAAATGAGCTGGAACAGGTCTTACCCTCTGCCCTTGGTAATATTTCAGCTTCACAGACAATACAATACAGTCCTGACCTGCAAGGTTGGCTGTGTGTTTCCTTCCACAATATAATAAGGCAATAAATAAATTAATGTATTAAACATTTAATGTCCAAATATGTAGGTCATAATTATTTAAAAATAAAAACCATTACTATCAAGTAATATACTAATGAAAATTATTGCTTCAATATAAATAAATAATATTAGAAGCACAGATCCATTTGAATCAATATTTAATTGCTTTAAAATTTACATTAATTGGTAAAATATGTATCATATGAAATAATAAAAATGACTAGACTAATTTTTATATATTATATATGAGATATTTTATAATACTGTAGTCTCCAAAAAAGAGGTTGAGCAGCAGACCAAATAAGATAAAACAACAGACTTGGCATCACGGACTCCAAACAAAACTTTGAGTGCCAGATTTTAAAATGTATTATTCAAAGAAATTAACAAATTTTGTATTTTAGATGTTTCTCTCTAAATTACAGGGAAATGTAAAGCATCAATGTAATTTTCTTGTATATTGGAGTTTTATTTTATATTTTAATCTGAAAAGCTCAATGTATTTGAAAAGGTTATTATTTCCTGAAATTAGAGCACACCATAAAGTATGGTTTTGTAAAGCATTTAGGATCCAATCCTGCACCTCTTACTTATATAGGTAGCGCCACAGACTTGATCACCTATATTCATGTGATAAGGGCTGCAGCCTGCAGCCCTGGAATTTAAAAAAAAAAAGTAACGGAGAACTTATAGAACATCAGTAGAAAGAGAGCACATGTTAATTTTATGGCTCAAAATTACAATTAACGCTCTTCAAATAGTACTTTAAAAGATTAATTTACTAGTCATGATAAACAGTTCATTTTAACAAATAGCAGATTACAACTTATGAAGAAAATATAACTAAAACAGTACATTTTTACAGGTAGGATTGCATGTTGTACTAGACCAGACCAGAGGGTTACTCCACATCATGTTGCTCCTTTATTGGCTTCTGGAATGTGAGATGCAGTGTCTGTGTTTTATAATCTATGGTATTAACAAAACTGCTAGTTGATAATATATTTAAATAACATCATTTGTTCCAGAAGAACCCAGAAGTACTTTATAAATTACTGATATTTAGAGTTTACATGAGTTCCGTCAGCTGAGAAGCTGCCAGGACATTTGGACTAATACCCTCTCTCAAGAAAATGGCCAGTGACATTTAATGACCACAAGCACCTAGTGACTTAGTTTTAAGTCTCAGACTAAAAAGGACTTTACAGTGTCAAAATGTTCCCTTACACCATGCTGGTGGTGTACTAGTTTAATACTATATAAGGGAAGAGAATTGTCTGCTTAATCACCAATACAACATCTTGTAGCATACGCGGTTTCCTTGGAGGTTTTCAACCCAAGTACTGACCATTCTCAACTTACAGAATCACATAAGATTACAGAGGCAATCTGGTTACAGGCTACAAAATGCTTAGTCTGGAATTTTTCAAAGGCTCCTAAGGCAGTTAGGTGCTGAACTCCCATTAAGCTTCAAAGGAATTAGGATCTTAGGCTCTTTTGAAAAACCCTGCCTTAAAAATTACACACTAATCAAAAATAGTAAAGAGTGCTTATGTAGAAAGGAGACATCTATTACAAACTATGGTCTTGATTCTGCAAAGTGCTGAATATCCTCAAGTCCCACTGATGCTAATAAGGCGCTCAGCACTCATTACTACAAATTTTTTAATCCGGAAATAAAAGTGTCTCTACATTACTTACTGAACATTTAAATTACAATAATTATATTAATCAACTAATAAACCATACAGAACCATGCACATTGTACATTATTTCACCTCACAGGAAAAAGGTAGTATATATATTTTTCTTATATGTTAACAGTTGCCACTACCATATTCAATAACGTCATTTAATCTACTCTTTATATTGTACCTTTCTTTCACAGATGAAGCCATTTCCCCTACTAGCAGCTTTCTTGGTTCTTCGTTTGCATGCTCTTTGCACATTCAGTCCTTTAATAAATTTGGGATTCGATTATTATTTTACGCACAAAAGAAATTAATATTAATTATTGTTTTAGAATAATAGGATACTTTCTATAATTTAGATTTCACTGACTTGAGAAGTCCAAACACAGTTTTAGGTTAGTTTTAGTTTATGACAAAAAAAATTTACATGCAAAGTAGACAGCTAAGTAACCAATGTACTTTTGTTGTTTTGAGTCACCACAAATCTCTGATCAATGTAAAAATAAAATGCTTTTCAACCATTTATGTATATATATGAGAACAAGAAGCTTGTGTGTGAGTGCAAGCATGTAGGGCTAAATTTATAGTTTTTGCATTTAAAAAAGGCAGCAATACTATCTGGTCTATGATCCCATCAGTTCTCTCAAGCAACTGCGTAACAGTTAGGATTTAAGATCCGTCTGGTGAATATTTGAATGGGAAACTCCAAAGAAAACCCAGTATCTAATGGGAATGGTGATGTTACTTCAATAGGTGGCACTTGTCCTAAGTCAATGTTATTATATATTATGATATTATATATTGATATAGCAACTGCAAATTAACACAGTGCTTGAACATAGATAAGACCAGTTTCATGCGTCGAAGTTTATAATCAAAACAAGATAAGACAAGACATACACAAGACAAGACAAAAATTCAGGAGAGGAAGGGTCCAGAGGCTCCTTATGATAAGAAAAGAGAGGAGAGATTTCCTATGAAAGACTTGAAAGAGGATAGAGAGGGTACTTGTGATTCAAGGCACAAAGCCAAAAGTGCTAGAAGATTTTTATTATACATTTAGATTTAAACACAAAAATATAAAAAGGCATTTTCCATGTGACCTTCTGGAGAAGATTACACGAGGCCTTTAAGAGTAGCAATTCAAAACCCCACAAGGAGCAGAAGCCTGGCAAACAATGGAGAACTAGGCATTTTGGATGAACCATAAAACTAAGAGTAGCATTTAGATCAAGAATGGTAACTACTGCAGTAGGCCCGAACAAGAAGTCCCCACCGCACACACCAACCGTTAGGTTTCTTGTAAGAGTTATGAAAAGAAGCTCAGTCACCAGTGTATAAATCTAACATAAGGGTTCCAATGTTAGCTGCTGGCATGAAGAGAGGGAGAAAGAAAATCACTAGCCATTTGATCCACCAACCCCACAACAAAAGTTACTACTGACCGAAGATGGGTAGAGCCCTGTGCGGATACAAATGTATACCCACAGATGCAGATATCCACGGATATAAATCGGTATTCGCGGAACCACATGGTTCTCCTGGGAACCGCAGCGATGAAAGGAGCAGACCGTGGGACCGCCACACAAAGGAGCCAGTGCCCTGCACTGGCAGCTCCTCTGGCACAGCTGTACCACCCCCAGCCCTGCCCCCGTCCCTTCCACATCTCCAGTCTGGGGGCATGTGTGCCACTTGCACACACTAGTGTAACCAGGGACAACTGCTGGTGAGCCTGGTGCCTGCCCCAGGAGGCGGGGCTGGGGGCGGTACAGCCGTGCCAGAGGACCTGCCGGCGCGCACTGGCTCCTGGGAGTGGCTGCCCCACGCTCTGCTCGTTTTGCACTGCAGTTCCCGGGAGAGCCCTGTGGTTCTGCGGATACCGATTTATATCCATGGATATAAATTTTTATCCATCCAGGGCTCTAAAGATGAGCTCAATAAAGTAAATATAATACTAATCTGCAGCATTAGGATTTTGTGGAGCAACTATGAGTCAGACTAAATTTGAGTATAGCGACTGTTCTTATGAGAAAGGAGACTATTTTTACTTTATGTAATTTTTTTTCTTTATCTGCTGCAATAGAGGAAACAAGAATTTGAGCCAAAGGTCATGTAATCAATTATAGGTTAGTGCTAAATAATCTAATACAGTATATGCAAAAGAGATTTAATATTCCACCCATCTTTTACCATACTTGCACACATAAGTTTTCATCTTCTTAAAGCAATATTTAATATAGAAAGAAAAAGAGCTGTTTAATTCACAATACTTGATGCAAGAAAACGTACAGTTTTGAACAAGGGGATATCATAGCATTATTTAGTCTGATTATTAAAGAAAACATCACATGTGCAATTCCAACTCAACTCCTGTGCCAAATATATAAATGTCCACATAAATATTTTACATTGTCCCAGGAGTTGACCCCCCCACCCAAAATGTACTTCATTAATATAACAATAGAAACAAAAACTAGTTTTTCTCAACCATGTGTATCATAATGTTTCATCACAGCAAAATCCTTCCTTCCGCATTAATTTTCAATGTCAAATAGTTAATTCACCATGTTAACCTGGGATACACGTGAAGCCCTGGAAATAATTATTCCAAATTTTGTGTTCTTTAAATGTCTAATAGAAGTTATTGCTTTATTTTGTAACATGAACTCTCTTTGCTCTGGTTTTCTGTAATAATGGCAGTAGGACCAAAATTTAGTACAATATAATCAACAAAAATGTTTGAAATATTTCAAAATAAAATATACACAGAAAAGTTTCAAAGTTCATGTGATATTTTACTTGGTCAAATACAGCATAAGAAGTGCATTTATAAGGTAGAAAAAAGTGCACTCTTGTTTGGCTGTCATTACATCTCAGAACCTGACCATAAATAAAAAAGATCATAAAAGCAGCAAAGTTTGAAGAGATGTCAGGGATATTAGCTTATCTCAACTTTCTATTTACACATGAAACAAAGGAAGAATACATAATAATGTTATTAGTACCATTAACCTTCAAGCAGTCTGCTCAATACTACTCATCTGCTGATGTGTTCTTTTTGTGAAGAAAGACTTGAAGGAATGGAAAATGGCTCCCCTAATTTGGGAATCTAGGGTTGCTCTCGTAAATTATCTGGTGCTCGAGGAATGTGCATATTCTGCATATTAATTTTTTTAAATCTAAGATAAATGCACAGAATTATATCTGCTTGAAGTTTTATCTTCCTTGGGGGCTAAACAGCAATTGCTTGCTAGTGTTCAACACCAGATGAATTCAATCGACAACTGATCAACTTTGTCCTCACCCTATAGTTTCAGGTACAGTACACTATTGGGTCTACAATTTATGATTCCCTGGGTCTTGTTTGGCTCTTCGGCCATACATTGTGAAGAAGAATCTTAATGAAGTCTGAAGAAAACAGCAGAGCAGTATTATTTGCATATGCAAAATAAAAAAAATCAAATCAGATAGAGATAAAATGAAAGTACAATTCCACCATTTCTCTACTAGTGAGGCTACGTAGTCAATAAAAAAGCCTACCAGAAATAGAAGTGATTCATAATGAAGTTCATTTCTAAATTTCCTGTAAAACATGGTAGCTATGGACTAGTACTGCTCAATGAGAAGGAAGACACACCTTTGTTTCGTGATCTGGAAAGTTTACTTTTCTTTTTTCTGGTGTCCATTTCCTGATATTTTTTCTGTTCTACTTCTCCTACTCTAGTAACACTTTCAGCATCACTAACTGTATTACCCTTAATCTTGTCATTTTGCATTATTATAGCTAATTCCGTGTTCATGTTATCATTACTTTTTATTTCTCCAATTGAGCTTACTACTTTTGAAGTACTGATTTCAAAAAGATCTTCCGCTACAATGCAAGCTCCATGTTCATTCTGATTCACAGTATTATTACACGTTTGAATTAATGGTTCAATTTGCTGTTCCTCTGGTTCTATATCATCATAAAGTTCAGGTGTAAAATAGATACTGTCATCCTCAGCTTCTGCTTCTATGGCTACATTTAACATTGAAAGTTCAATTTTTCCTCTTACTGGAGATAACTCAATGCATTGATCTATGACTCTATTAGTGCAGAGGTGCTGTTCAGCAGGATGTTCTTCAGCAGTTGCAGCTTCACATATTGCGGAACTAGTTGTTTCCAGTTGTAATGCTGGTCCACTTGGTGTAAGCAATGACAACTGGCACTGGCGTTCATTAACAACAGGCTGACTAGATTCAATAGTTCTCCTTTTTTGTTTGCACATAGCTTTGGAGATGCATGGCTTTTCATTCACAGGCAGAGGTGTTGAAGTCAGTGGCTTATTGCTGAAGTATTGTTTCATAAGGTCAGCATTAGTCCAACTATTCCTTTTCTCTCTTTCTTTTTTGATGGCAGGACTTTTTGGTTTGGAATCCATATGTTTTTCTCTCCGCACTGTTTGGTGAGAATGATTTTCTACACCAAAATTCTGACCGTCTGTGAAAATCACAAAATACAATAGTAATTGATTTTGGTTTTGCCCTTATTTTACAATTAACTTTTTTACACAGAATTTTATTAAGTTTACAGAATTATTGTTATTATGTGAAATGAAATCCAGTATAAAGGGTCAGATCATCAAATAATTATGCATTGACTTGAGTGGGACAACTCACAGGCCTAAAGTTAAAGTGTGTGTTTGAGCTTGTAGGATAAAGGTCACAGTCAGTATTTTTCACTTTAAATTACTATGTTCTCTATTTGCAAATTCTCTTATCTGTCATAAATGGTTAGGACTACAGATGAGCTTGAGCCACTAAATTCAGATTTGGATTCACACTTCTCAAAATGTTGATGTAATTTGCATGCATAATATTAATTTAGCCAAGCTATTTTAGAGGTAGGGAGTACATATGAAGTACAATTCTCTAAACTTTGGAAACAATCCCGAGCCAAGGTTGTAGCTCAGACTCAACTCCAAGTAAGATGCGAGTAAGTAAAATTAAAACAATGACTCCATATGTGAATTCAACTTTTTTTTGCCACAATGTCAACATTGGTAGATGTAAACGTACTGTAAATTATCTTCAGATTATCTTCATATTTTTTCATTACAGAACCAAGATAATGTCAGATTTAAACATTTTTAAAATTACACCTCAAATTTATCAAAGTTGTTAGTTTTAAGACAACCAGATGGGATGACAACTAATCGTTTAATCTCCTGAACTAAGCTTATATATATTTGTGAGAAGTGGCCATTTAACAGCACAGCACTTCATAAATTTTTTTTTTAACATATGTCTCTTTCAAAAAAAAAAAAAATGCACGATTTTACAGCCTACAGAAAAATATCAGTTCTGAGAACTGTTAATGAAGTTTTAACATGGGAAATAAGCATACTTTTCTTTGTTGCCATGCTGTTACTTGATTGACTGGATGCTGTAGGATTAACTGTGTTGACTGCCGTAGGCGAATGAGCTTCCAGGACCAAATTCTGCACCTTACTTTCAACAGGAACATCTGGTGACAGATGAATAGATGCCTCCCATAATGAAGTTGGTGACAGATCTTTTGAACTTGAATGTATAAGCAGAGATTCACTATTACACTGGGTTGAAGAACCAGCACCCTCTTGATTTTTTTTAGCAAATGCATCCAACGACTCAAGTGCAGTACTAAAGTTCTCATGGTGCTGGATTTGTTGACGAACCCATTTGGATAATCCTAATGGAAAAAAAAATTGGTACATTACAACCAAACTTACTTTATCTAGATTATATACAGTAGCTATTTCAAGTTACTAAATTGGGCCCTGGTCCTGCAAATACTTACACATGTTTAGCTTCGCTCATGGGAATAGTCAGATTGACTTCAGTGGAACTACTCCTGTGAGTAAAGTTAAGCATGAGAGTGTTTACAGGATTGAAGTCTTGATTTATTTATAGTTTTCTATTAACATTTTTCAAAAAGTAGAGTACAGATGGTGTTATCATTTAAATTCTCTACCCCATCTTCTCATTTTTCACCTACCCTTCTCTTAAAATAAATTTAAACTGATATCTACTGTTAAGGACAGCAGCAACGCTGAAGCCTTCCAAAATGTTACTACTGTTGTCCTTTGATATCCGTGTAATGTTTCTCTTGCTTTCCTTCCTGTGCTATTAATTTAAAGATCATGAATGATTACAAGAGGAATTTATGTATAGACTATATGTTTATTACAGCTGTTTCACTGCATGACAAAAATCTAGCAGTATTTAAATAGTTTGCAGGTTTTGCAGTTTAAAAAACAGTGTCAGATTTTTTTGAAAGAATCACAATCATTTAATACTTCCAAAAATATCATACAAGATGCTCACATGAACCAATATTAATTTTTATAAATATTGTATATCACAAATCTTAAACAAACAAATGTTTTGATGAATCTGGAAAACTGAAGATTGAGAAAATTAATTTTCATAAACATTAAAAATACACCTTTTAATCCCTTAAAAATACTCTATATTAGAAAAGGTTTTTTAATTAGCTTTTATTCTTTGAAAAAAAATTACGCTTACCAAATTCACAAACTCTTAGTGTGAGTGTGTAAATTACAATACTCTGCTATCTCCCTTTTGTTTCCTCTCTTCAGTTATCTAAGCATTTGCCTAATACAAAACAACATGTCAGAAAACTGCTTATATGGCAGAATCTGAGCTCCACCTGCTGACTGGACACGAAAATTATCTCCTTTACATTATCCTTTTACTGTGGTTGTTTATAAATGGAGAAGGGGCAATGAAGCTATGCAATCTATTCCTAAGAAATTTCTCCTTGACTAGTGTCATGTAAGCCTTATTTTTGTTTTAGCTGCATTAATTTTACTAAACATGAAGAAACTGAATTGATCATGACAGCACAAACAAATGTTCAATGATGCTATGAAAGGAATGGTGGTGCCTCTACATGTTCACGTCTACAAACCAGCTGGTTAAACCTCTAACTGCTAACATTAGCCCCTGCAGTTGACTATGGGTGCAAAACTACTCATACAAATGAATGAAAGTTGGTACCTTTATTTTTATATTTACCATGGATAATAGTTCTTAAATATGTTATAAATTTCATTTTGGAATATGTCGGTAAATTGAAGTTTCCTCAACAAATCTTACTACCAGCATGTTCTGAATGGGAATTAAATTAAAATAACAGAATGACTAATTTGTGTGTTTCATTGCATTTTAAGCCTGACACCCAGAAGCAGTGTTTTACAGTTGTTCAGAATTCTAGCTGCACAACCACAGAACCGAGTTTAATGGATATATTTTGTTATAGCCTCCCCCCACATAACAGATTTCTTTGGGAAATCACCTCTTGAAGCCTAGATTTCCCAACTCAACATCCTAATACTAGGATCTTTCCCAGGAGAATCTGAATATCTTACCAGTTATGTATTTATTAGGGTTACTCCTGAAGCGATCATCAACTAACACAAGAGCACCCCAATCCTTTTTGTGACGAATACACCTACAGGAGAACAATGAAAAAGAATTATAATTAAATAAAATAGCATCTAAAACTGGAAACTATTTCTCTTTTGCATACAGTTGGAAGCACAAAAGATGCAAAGATGTGTCAGATGTGCTTTCCTGAGCTCCAACAAAAGGGATATCTGTCAGAGAAGGAATGTAAAAACTACACCTCTACCTCAATATAACGCTGTCCTCGGGAGCCAAAAAATCTTACTGTGTTATAGGTGAAACCGCGTTATATCGAACTTGATTTGATCCACCGGAGCACGCAGCCCTGCCCCTCCGGAGCACTGCTTTACCACGTTATATCCAAATTGGTGTTATATCGGGTGGGCGTTATATCGGGGTAGAGGTGTATATCAGAAGATAGTTAAGCATAGAAACTGCTTTTTCACACAGTTCATAGAATCACAAGAGTGACCATTTGATGACACAAACTAGGAGGTCACACATTATTTCACAAACTGAGGACTTGATGTCTAATAATTACAACAGATGTTATTTGTTTGGCAATCTACTATTGTGGGAAAGATAGGATAAGTACTGAAAGGAGAGTATGGGGCAAGGTATGGGAATGCACTGAGTGTGGTTGTACAAAGATTTATAGAACTATGTACTTGTTTTAGTATTTTCTGGCAAGGTTTTAATAAAATAACGTTCTATACAAAGAAAATATCAAGATGCAAGGTAATGATGGCTGTTGACTCTGTAATTAAAAGTTTGTTAAAAAGTGGCTTTCTGTAACAATCCTGAAGTGCCACTTTATATGAATCAATAATTATTTTTATAATACATTGACCTTCTACAGTGTATTTCAGATAAGGGTTTTCAAAGAATTACACAAAAATAAATGAACTGGACCACACAATCCCATGAGAGATACATAAACATTATTATCCTCATTTTACAAATTAAGGAAAACCGATTCAAAAAGTATCAGGGGGTAGCTGTATTAGTCCGCATCCACAAAAACAACAAGGAGTCCGGTGGCACCTTAAAGACTAACAGATTTATTTGGGCATAAGCTTTCATGGAAGAAAAGGAAAGAAGAAAAACCACGAAAGCTTATGCCCAAATAAATCTGCTAGTCTTTAAGGTGCCGCCAGACTCCTTGAGGCAAAAAGAAGTCTGATTGGATATACAACGTCACTGTGTCTAGAGATGGGATTAGAATCCAGATCTTCTAATTCACAGCATCATAACTAGCTCAGCAAAGAATTTTTTCTTGAATATCTTTAAAGCCTCCCATGAAAGAAAAAACTAACAAAACAATTCAAGGCAAAAGATTCCTTCCGAGCTTTTCATTTTTTAGTGCTTTAATAAGTGCTGTTTTAACTTGCCATTTAAATGAATTATACCCACTGGAAACATATCCCACACGTTTAGTAAAGCAGCATTGCAAGGAGTTCATCGCCCAGTTGTCACCTGGTCATGCACAACATCTGGTATATTCCCAGAGGTTGTTATTACATTTCATGGACTTATGTTACTTCATATACGGTAACAGCACTATATTAAGAGAAAAGTGCCAGATTCAAGACTAACATGCTTCTGCTCACTTCAATCCCTGCAGGACTCTTTTACAGAAAGAAGCTTGCCTATCTGCGGCAACCACTTTCTAGGACTGTCAGCAAATACTATATTTTGATTTATATTCTCTTTTTATAAATGCACTGAAATCTACTGGCTTTTCTTTTCCAAGGCTCAATATAATAAAATCTGAGTCAAATTATAATATAAACCAGAATTATTCTCCCTTGCATGAAACTGAGCCTTTTCCAAATACACCAGTAGGGGAATCTGTCTTTCCCTTTCAGCTCAGATTAAAGTGCATCCATTTAAATCAGAGGTTCCCAAACTTATTTGGCCTACCGCCCCCTTTTCAGAAAAAAAATTACTCAGCGCCCCCCTGGAAATCTACCTTCTTTAAGTGAACAAACAGAAAGATGCAGTGACAAATTTGTGTTCTTTTATGTATCTATATTTCTACCTACGTCCTACAATATAGTAAAGAAAGATGTGTTATTAGAATATCGCCCACGACATCAGGTATACAGTGGTTTTTGCGTAAGATGGCAAAAGACAATCAAACTAAAATAATAATGAAACTAATAAACTGGGTTTTGTTCTTTGCTCAGCATTAGATATATGTATTTGATATTAAACTGTCAAATATCAAACTAAATTTATCAAGAAATAATTAATTAAAATAATCAATATGCAATTAAAAATCAGTTAATAGTTTTAATTTAGTTTGCCCTTATTTAAATAATTGTTCCTTATTAACACACGCCTTATTTACCAATTAACACAGATGATTCGATAGATATAAATAAATGTTAACAGTTAACAGTTTTTTTACGATTTCATTCCCGTTTTCGTTACTATTGTAATAAAAAATGACAAATATATTGACTGTACACTTCAAATAGTACTGTACCGCCACAAGCCTGCTACGATTTTATTATTAGTAAGCACTAGAGACACAGAAACTTACGATAGATATGTAAGAAAATGTCTAAAAATACTCACGTGTAAATTGCTGTTTTATTGAAATAACAATAATACAATTTGCTTTGTATGTGATCCGTAATCCGTAAAGATCGAAGGTATTGAATATGAATAAAAATTTTTAAATACTTATTGCACTATTGTTAACTGCTTTTTACACAATTAAGAAACAATCTAAATTAGATTTCATACATGTTGCCTATTTATAGTATCGTATTGTAAACAAGTCATTACATGCACATATTCCTGCCGATGCATGCTGGACTTCCTGACAATGCGCGACACGCTCGCCTGCCAACACTTGCTTGTTAAGAGCTGTTGGCGGACTTGACACCTGATCGGT